CCCCCCCCCCCCCCGGTGGGACGGCCCCCACGCGCATATTCTGACGCAAATATGGAGGGTTGTCCACGGATGAACTTATGGACACTCATCGGGACGTCCACCAGACACTTTCTTCGCTGAACGTCCTTGGACACGATCTTTGTCCGTGGACACCCGGGTCGGCTCGACGTTACTCACTTCACAGTGAGAACACGGGCAAGAGAACCGCCGTCAAGGATAAGGATAAGGATGGACACACCGGTATAGTCTTCCACCATAGACCCCTGCCCGCCCGTCCTGCCGCATTCAGCGCCGGTTGAGCACCGTGTGCAAACTAGTAGTATGTTGCTTTTGTTCGTCCTGCGACGAAAACAGAGAGCGTCCGCTCGGGACGCTCCCCCATTGGGACTACATCGCTTAACATGGTGGCAAGTCGCTCGCCACCTCTTTTTTGTTGCTGTCCGCATTTAGAGCACAACGACACTACGACTATTTTCCTCGACTACAATACTACTTCTATCTGGGTCCCGTTCGTTGGCGAACGGCCACGCTGGCTCGTTGGCTGGCAAGCAAGCGTATCGGCGTACGCCACCAGAACGAGAAGGGCGAATGCGGGAGGGGTGAGGGAGGGGGCGCCCTCCCGGATTCTTAGATTTGTGCATGTCTGTCAACGTTTCACGTCACCTGCAACTACTTGCGTTACGTCGCCGCGCGCAAGACAAAAAAGACGACAGAGAAAGAAACATGCCGTTCACTTCCTCCTGTGGATAGATGCACGGCTGCCGTGGTAACCATGATATAGACTATAGTACTGAAACGGGTTTCCCAATCGGTGCGTGCGGCAGATCTGCCTCATCTACGAAGATCTCGTCGGCGAGTACAGCTTGGCCACCAGGCTGTGGCTCTTCATCCTCTTCCAATGGCTAGCCTTCATCTTTATGGCGGGGTTGGGTGCCACAGTGCCGGACGTGCCCGAGGACGTGACCATACAGCAGCAAAGGACGATGTTCTTGTCTTCCAAGGTGAGGAGGCGGACTCCCCTCTACCCCCGCCCTTCCCCCACCCCCCCTTCTGCCTGCCCCTTACCGCCCCGAAAAGCACGGCCCCGACAGCAGCGCAGCTAGCTTGCGTGAAGTAGTCCACGACACCTAGATGCACACGCTCGACAACATGCATGTAATGAGCTATACTTCTTTTCATTCGTGATCGTTACAATACCATTCAGTCGCACCCTGATGACGGACAGAGGTCTGCGTGCGCCCAAAAAACGTAATGCGTATGGTGGTTCGAACATGTTGCTTACTGTTCTTGCCGAACATGAGAGAGACCCTCTCTCCCCCCCTTCCAACCTGTTCCTGAGCCCATTACACAAACACTGTGTACCACGCCATCAACAAAAACACGTGCAGATAGTGGACAAGGTCGCCGACGAAATGGATGATGACATGCAAAAGATCGACCAGGCCGCCCTGGATGGCGTCAAGGTTACCATCAGCCCCGCCATGTCGTCCAAAGGGGAGGAGCTGCACCGCGGTGTCCATGTCGCCTAGTAAGAATCTGTCAAGACTACGTGCAACACGCGATTCACTCACGGGTTGTTTTCGGCGTGGTCTGTAGCACCACCCACCGATCACAACACAACCCAAATCCATGCTGATATGATGAGACGTGCGAGCGTGGAAGCAGATGCGCTACCAAATAGTCTGTGGCTCTTGCGAGCGTCGACCGACTTCGAGCTGCTACCGAAAGTTACTCGAGACTACCAAAACGCTCAATAATAGATACGACTGTATCTAATGGGTAGACGACAACTAAATCTGGTGTTGTCTGGCGGTGTTGGCCTGAAGGAGGCGGGCACCATCACCACCGATCGATGTGGTCCTTGTAGAACGGTGTCAAGAAACGTCGCAAGTACGAGAGCAACAACAGCTGCAACAAGGGCATCACGTAGTACACAAGGTCGTACCTGATGTATTTCCTGCAATAATGCCTTGTACCATAAACTAGTTATACATGGATGAGGGGTTGGTGTGGTCGGGCGGGGGTGTTACAGTCGCAACAGGCTTGCAGCCAAAAATGTTCGCGCGTTTTCGTGAAGAATGCCAGTGACAGAGGTGAAGGAGGGCGAGATCGAGGGGGCGGGGTTTTGGGGGAGGGGTGGGGGTGACGTGAAGACCGCCTTCTTGGCCCAAATTTTTTGGGGGGTACACTAGTCTATGACGAAATCGTGAGGTGGTCGTCTGAGCTACGGATGGCCCCCGCACTTAAGACCCCCTACTTTCGACCGACGCCGGAGTTCTCAGCTCTTGTTGTTGTGGACTGCAAATGGCCGTTATATTGAGGTTTTAGTGGGGGAGTTCTTCCTGGGCTCACAAATGGTGACTCGTGTTGCTAATTACCTTTGATACGACTGAGGATGAAGCTGCCAAGTCTGAAGCCGAGCGCTATCTGCACTGGCTGCCGTACATTAGTCAGGAGTTCGACTGATGTGCGCCGTTGTTTCAATGTGAACGTGTGTCGATCGCGATTTCACACCGGCTCCTTCAAGAATAAACAGCTAGCTGTAACAAGAAGAATAAAAAGAGGGATATCAGTATGTACTACGGTATGGAGGATGGTGCGAAGAACGTAGAATCGATAAACAAACGTGCTCAGAAAACATGGTCGAAAGTTGGCAGGACTCCTATCTGTAATATGGTAGACGGCATGGTCCAAAACTGTCCCATTTGTACAGTACGGTTTTCGGGGGGGAAGGCGTCTTGGACGGTATTTTTCTACGCGTGCAGGGGGGAGAGGGGGGGATAAACGCGTGTATGTGTGTGGTGCGTTGGGCGCAAGATGATTGATCACAACCTACCGTGCTGTGTCTTTCGTCAGCTACACACACACACACACACATTTCTCCCTCAATGAAGCCATATCCGAGAAGACATGCATAACGCTGCTGCTGTATTGTAGTTCAGGACAGCTGAAGACAACAGCAAGGACTCCCCCGTGACTTCGTCGACACGGGGTTGACTGTCTATCGTGTCCGGGGTCTTATATTGTTGGTTTGGTGGACGCGTCGTGAGCGCGTCGAGAATTTGCCGCCCGCCAAGTCCCAAAGGGATTCCCTCTGAGCAAACAGAACAAATGTGAGCGAGCGGGGCGGCGTCGTATTCATTTCTTGAATGGGCATCAGCGGCAGCCACGTGGTAAGACAACTCGGTTGCGGGTGTGGGTCGCACAGGGCGCACTGCAACCTTTTTGTACACGCGGCCCTACGTGACGTGGCAGTCTGAGGCCGACACAAGGAAGCACTGCTATACATGAACCGTGCGAAGTAAACCAGTCCAGCGGCAATGCACTTGGGTCTTCGACGCTGTTGTACACACGACTGCAGGTCAATGTTCGATTTCCCGGCAGTGCCCGGTACTCCGCGCTTCTCTATTTCTCTGCGCATACATAACTAGCTTCTTTCTGCTGATGATCTCTACCTACCTCCCCTTCCAAACTCTTCAACGCCAACGAAAAGGGCGTCGCTTAATTAAGCTGATCCAACATGGGGTGCGTCAAGGAAAACAACATGTCGCGCATACGACTTCAGCTGAGACAAGAATGCAAGCAAGTCAACGATACTGCTGCTGTAACCGTTCCCCCCCGAAATCAATCTCGCGATTCGACATATTTAACTCCGTAAACAGTTCGGGACCAACCTGAAAATCGAACCAAATCAACACAGTTTACACACCCGAACGCCTCCGAACTCACATGTCAGTACAATGACGTTGAATGTCGAAAAATGTAACGCTGACAAAAAAGGCGTTTTTATGCGCCCATCAATCACTTATACCTTGCTCTACTGCTTCGTTGCTTTTCGCCGCTCTACACGCGAGTCCGATTTATAAAATTAACAGGCTGGCACGCTTTCGTCTCGAACCAGCTCGAGGTGTAGACTAAAATGGGCTAACTATTTCTCTTGCGTGTGTACCTTCCCACGGCCTGTTTCACACCCTCCTGTCTTCTACGCTGAACCAGCCAACTATCCAAAACCACACACCAACGCCCACGTACAACAATCGTGCCCCCC